CTCTATTGTTAAAGGCATTTGCTCAATTTCCTTAGGAATTATAACCATTAAGTCTAGTTTTGCCGAGGTATCAACAAATTTGTTTTCTTTTCTTGGTAGATATGTGTATTCTACCTTTTCGAGTTGATCAGTGAGGGTTTCCAAATAGATTTGGTGTGGAGCTAGGCTTTCACTCCTCACCTTCCATCTTTTGGAAATCTGGTTGATGATAAGTGACGAATCTCCGAATATTCGAAGCTTCTTGACTCCTAATGCCAAGGATGTTTCTAGGCCTATTACACATGCTTCATGCTCTGCAGCATTGTTAGTGACGTCGAAGTCAAGATTTTTTGAGATTGGGACATACTTTTCTTTTGGTGATACTAGTAAGACTCCTACACCACATCCTTTCTAGTTGGATGCGCCGTCAAAGTATAATGTTCAAGTATCATCCTTAGTGACCATTAACTCTTCATCTGGAAAGTTATTTCCTTGTATTGGTGTTGAGTCTTCATATGGAAAATCTGCCAAGATATCAGAGAATGCGGATCCTTTGATAGACTTTTAGGGTATGAACCTTAGGTCGAATTGAGCTTAGTTCACTATCCATCTTGATATTCGACCATTAAGTGTGGATTTCTCAAATAGGTACTTGAGAGGATCCATTCGAGATACCACATGGAATGTATGGACTAGCATGTAATGTCTTAACTTAGTTGTGGCCCACACAAGTACAAGGCACAACTTTTCAAGTGGTGTATAGCGGACTTCAAATTCAAGTACTTTATTACTCAGATAGTAGATGGCATTTTCCTTTCCTTCTACTTCTTGTGCAAGCATAGCCCCCATTGTTTCTTTGGTTACTGTCAAGTATAGGCGTAGAGGAATGCCTGGTAGTGCTGGCATTAGTATAGGAGGATCTACAAGGTAGGCTTTGATCTTATCAAAGGCTTCTTGGCATTCATCGTCCCATACTACTGGCACATTCTTTTTGAGTTTCTTGAATATTGGTTCACATATCATGGTGAGCTTTGATATGAACCTACTTATGTATTGCAACCGGCTAATAAATCCTTGAATTTGCTTCTCGGTTTTGGGCGGTGGCATGGACATGATTGCCTTGATCTTAGTGGGATCTATCTCAATTCCTCTAGAGCTAATGATATAGCCTAGAAGTTTCCTTGAGCTCACCCCAAATGCAAATTTGGTGGGATTTAGCCTCATGTTGTATTTTCGAAGCCTTTCAAAGAATTTTGTTAAGGCTATTTGGTGTCCAGGGCGATCCTTGGATTTTACAATCATATCGTCAACGTATACCTCGACTTCTTTATGCATCATGTCATGGAGTAAGGCAATTTCTGCTCTTTGGTATGTGGCAATCGCGTTTTTCAACCCGAATGTCAACACCGTATAGCAGTAAGTGCCCCATGGTGTTATGAAAGTAGTCTTTTCCATGTTTTCTTCTGCCATGAGAATCTGGTTGTAACCCGCGTACCCATCCATAAATGAGAGAAGTGCATGATTGGCTGTATTATCTACTAGAATGTCGATGTCTGGTAGAGGGAAATCGTCTTTTGGGCTAGCCTTGTTGAGATCCCTGTAGTCAACACACATTCTTACTCTACCATCCTTCTTGGGAACTGGTACCACGTTAGGGACCCATTCTGGATACTTGGATACCTTGATGAAACCTTCATTTATTTGTTTTTGAATTTCTTCCTTTATTTTAAGTGTTACGTCATGTTACATTCGACGCAACTTTTGTTTTACATGTTTCATTCCCGAAATTAGTGTATAGTATGTTGAGCAATTTCTCTGCTTTTACCTGGCATATCTTCACATGACCAAGCAAAGAAATCAATGAATTCAACAAGTAGGTTTATTAATTCAGTTCTTTCCTCTTAATTTAAAGTTAAGCAAATTTTAACTTCTCTTTTAATGGTGGGATCTTTTGAGATATTAATTGTTTCAGTTTCTTCAATTACTGTCATTTTATTCTTAAGTGTTTCCATTGCTTTAATTGTTTCTTTGTCATTTTCATTATTAGCAAAGCAATGCTCGCCATCTTGGGTAAGGGAATAACACGAGGAGTAAGCGGAAGAAGAAATATTATTAACCTCTTGAATCATTACATCACAAAGAGAAAGGTCCGCTGGGGCCTGGCTACTAACTATCCTAGGGGTAGACTTGACGGTAGGGGGCGCAACTACAAGAGACTTAGAAGAATCAATAATAGAAGACTTAAACTTGGACTCAGACTCTGACACAAACTCGGACGACTCAGATTCGTCAAACATAGGTCCTTCTCATGTGGTTATGGATATCATCCTTCCACTTAATGTAGTTACCTTCACGGTCTTGCAACATCCCTTGAGTCGTGCTTCTGTCGACACACTTAGGCTCATTTTTCTCGTACCGAAAGAGGAGACCCATGACATTAAAGTCAAAGAATGGAGATGCTCGTTCCTTATAAATAGGAGCAGGGATTTCATCTAGACAGTTGCAATCTAAAAAGATCCTGAACCCAGGCTGGCGTATCCCGTTCCTGACAAGCGGTTCCGGAAATTCGTAACATGGGTAGTCTTCTCCCTCTTTTATAAACTGTCCATTTAAAGTGAGAGGGTATGATTCCATTGGCATTGCGTCTTTTTCGGTGCGAGCTCTTCTTCGTGCATTGGAATTTTCCCGGGCTCGCTTAAGGTCCTTCGAAGTTGGTTTGAAACCAAGTCCAAAAGTATCAGAGGCCAAATAGTCTCATCTGCTTAGCTATTCCTTTCTTCTTTCCTAAAGTCATCCAGGAAAGTGCCCTTGTCTTTTAAGGGATTATAGTCAAGAAAGGTGTTTTTATCTTCTTCGATAAAAGAGACCTCTTCGGCATTAAAGCCCCATAAATCCTCGTCATTCTCATCGTGCTCCACATGAATGATTGGTTTATCAATCGCTTTGATTCTCATGGGGGAAGCATCGATTGTGATAGGAATTCCTCCAACTATCACCTTTACTTGTTGATGGAGGGATGAAGGGACGACTTTATGGTATTCAAGCCAAGGGCGTCCCAACAATAGATTGAATGAAGCCTTGATGTTTACTACTTGAAAGGTAGTACTATGTTCAATGACTCCTGCAGTGACATTCATGGTAATGGTCCCAAGGGCTTGGCGACAAGTATTGTCATGAGCCCTTATTCCTTGTGTGGACGAAGTTAAGTCTTCATCCTTTATTCCCAACATTCTTGCAGTGCGAAGTGGGCATGCATTAATTGCCGAACCATTATCTACAAGGGTCATTGGTACATTCATTTTTTTGCATACCACTGTGAGGTTCAAGGCTTTTTTTTGTGTTTATCACCTTCTGGTGGTAAATCTTTGTTAGAAAAGGTGATCAAATTGTTTGGACTAGGGAGGTCACTCGTGAGGAAGTTGGCTAGCCCTTTTGGAGTAGTCTCAGAATCTATCCCTACTTTTGCGAGAGCATCCATTACTGCAACTCTAAGTTCATGAGATAAAGCTAGAAGTTTCCAAACGTTCATCTCGACCTTAGTCTTTTAGAGCTGCTTGACAATGTCATTGTCTTCTACGATTGATGTTGGAGCTTGTTGAGTTGTAGGTATGGGTACAGTCACTAGTAGAAAAACTTAAATGGGCACCGCCAAATGCGCATCGGTTTTTAAAAACCGGTGCGGAAAAGAGTAGACGGGATTGAGGGAAAGACTTTTCGCACCGGTTTTTACAAAACCAGTGCGAAAAGTGAGTAAATCGCATCGGTTTAGTTCGAACCGGTGCGAAAAGTGTCATTAAATAAAAATAAAAAAAAAAACCGGTTATAAAAGGAAAGGAGAGAGAGGCAGATGCGTACGCTTTAATGGAGGAGAGAGAGAGGACAGAGGGCAAATGAGAGAGGACAAAGGGCAAAAAAACCTTGAGGAAGAAGAAAAGGAAGAGTAATATTGAGTGTCGTGATGAGGTAGTTGATGTTGTTTCCGCCACGACTTTCGGTTCTTGCTCGGTGTCGTTGCCTCCTCCGTCAAGGTGTGATATTAAGTTATTTCATTAATTCTCAATTATTTTAGATCTCTATTAGCACTTCTATTACAAATTTCTTATGTATTTTCATCCATTATAAAATTTCGTTAATTCTCAATTATTTATGTGTTATTCATATGTTATTGGATTGATTTTTAATGGATTTACTCGTGAATTTGTTCTGTGTTTGAGGGATTTTTGCCAATTGGGGTTAATTGGAAGAAATTAAGGGTTTCCTGATTTCTCGAGGCTGTTTGTAAAATTTTGGGGGAATTGGAGATGGATAGGGGTTGCGGTGGTGGTTTCGTGGAATTGGAGATGAATAATTGAATTTGAAGTTTACCAACTGGTTGTTGTTGCCCTTTGCAGTTTTGTATTAAAAAAGGAGTCCAAATTTTACCAGAGACGTGGAAGGTTTTTGGTTGAATCTACATTCAGATGTTGGTACCCGGGACTCACAAATTTCCTTGTCGACATACTGATGATTTAGTTGTTGTTTCATAGTTTTTAAAGTACTAGGTTTGTAATATCCTCATTTCTCTGTCTCTCATCAGTATCTATTCTGCAAGAAACTCTATCACTTGTCTTTTTATGCAGGCTTGGACCCAACATTGAATGATGATACCTGCGATCTTCCAAGGCTGTTGTGCTCAAAAGTTTATGAGGTTTGCTTTGGTTCCTACCCTTTATCGTGCTTTTTATATCCTTAGATCTAAGGTTTGGTGTTGAATGAAGGAGGCTGCATTTCATCTTCAGCTTGCCACCTTAAATACATGAATATCTAGGCCAGTTTTGAATCTATGGCCATTTATGTTCATAATAAGGAGAATGGCTTGTCCATTCTTGAAATACAGCTCAATTGTAAGGAGTTGGACTATTCAACTAGTATTTAACTGTAGATATAAAATGACTGACAGTTTAATAAGACAATTTATTTAACTTTTGTAATGCTTAGTTAAAATTTGCTTATGAATCTTGTTCAGCTTTGTTGGGTATGAATAGAAGCAACCTTCACTAATAGGAATATCTCAGAGGATTTGGCATTGGATCTAAATGATGATCTTTTTGAAAAGTTACGTATCTTCTAAATAATTTTTAGAGATGATAGATGATAGATGATGTGTCCTTTTACCCAAATGAGCAAGAAATGAGTTTGCATGAGGCTGACGTTTACAAACCTTAATTTTTAATTACACTTTCTAATTAAAAACAGGCTTTTAGAGTTTGCAATGTGCTTTAGTTTTTATTGATTACAATTTTAATATACTCCATGTCTTGATTTTTTTTTTTTTTTTTTTTTTTTTTTTTTTTTGTCTTTGGATAGCAATCATCTCTTGGATTGGGTGTCAAATTGTAGTCAGAGTACTATCCTGCTACTTGTTGAGCTTTCAATGATGAACTTATCTGTCATTTACAAACTAGATTTGCAGAAATTGCCATTTTGATGTGGTGCTTCTGCAGTGTTAAGTGTCCATCTCTCTCTCTCACCTGGTCTGGAGCATTTGTGGGTGTTAGATCCAGTTATTGACTTATAAATTGTTTGCCTTCTCGACTGCAGATTATGTCATGGAAGAGGTTAAGAAAGCTGGCTTTACTGAACCCACTGCTATTCAAGCTCAAGGATGGCCTATGGCCCTAAAGGGTCGTGATCTTATTGGTCTTGCTGAAACAGGATTAGGGAAAACACTTGCCTACTTGCTACCTGCTATTGTACATGTCAATGCTCAGCCAATTTTATGTAAGCATGCTTCTCTTTAAGTCTTGCACTAAAATTTCTAAGTGATCTGCTAAACCTGTCCGTCTTTGCCTCTTAATTCTCTTAACTTAAGTTCGTGTCATTTTTCAGCTCCTGGTGATGGTCCAATTGTGTTAATTCTGGCTCCAACTAGGGAACGTGTTGTACAAATACAACAAGAAACCACTAAGTTTGGCACTTCATCAAGGATTAGAAATACTTGCATTTATGGCGGGGTTCCTAAGGGACATCAAGTTCGTGATCTCCAGAAAGGTAGGTGCTGCTTGAGTTTGACATGACTTCGTCCATCAAAGGGAGGGGATAAGGATATTTGAGATGCTTTCCTATTATATTGCGACTTTCGTGATCTTCGTTACTTGTTTTAGGTGGGACAAGTGATCCTTGTCTTTACAGCTCGTTCTAACGGCACTAATCACTGCATTGGGAAGTGTGTTGGCTGTTGTAAGTACTTCATAAATTGAGTCATTATTAATGAGCTTAATGTTCTGTGATTTTGAGTAAACTAGCATTCTTTTTTGGCTGAATTTGACCCAGAGGCCCAAAGCCACTGATTTGCACCTACATTAATGTACTTTTGGTTATTGATATTCTGTTTCTTGTTTTTCGCCTATTTAGAAAACTCCTGTTGGCTTACAGATAGAGAATTATAATGTTATTAAATTATTCATATTGTTTTAATTTTTCATTCTGCAGGTCCAACTGTGCCGGGAAAAGAAATCTGGAAATATATATGCCATGAAAAAATTGAAGAAATCTGAAATGCTTAGTCGAGGACAGGTACTATTTTACATATGTTGATTTTGATGCAAGTCCTTAAAGATTATCCTTGAATTGGGAATACATGTTTCCTAAGATGTATATTTGAGCTATATAGTTGGTTCGTGTTGTGTATGTTTTACACTTATACTACTTGATCTCATCAAAAGATCGTCTAGATATGCAAAAATTGTAATATATTCCCCTAATCTCCCTCAAGTGTTCTATATTCTTTAACGGGATGTTGAGGCTGTCTCCATTTTTATGAATGGTGCTAATATCTGAATCTCTTCATTTGTTTTGCATTTTTTAGATTTATAGGATTGATACTTTTTATTTTTTTATGGGGCTATTGAAAAAATTGATAGTATAATGGCCTTGTAACACTGGAAATAACAGCTTGTGGTGGTTGCAACTTTCCTCATCTATCACCAGTTCTTGCCTCCAATTGTTTTTGGCTGGACGCCGGATCATGGCACAGAATTAGTTTCATCTACTAATATTATTGATGTGTAATTTGTTCTTTTTAAAATTTCATCTTTTCTCTGTTCATGCATCATGCTCAATGTTTTCCTTGCGGAGATGTCATTGTCTTATTCATGACTTTTTTATCACTTGTGTACTGCATTGGTTGTTACAGGCCGATGCAAGAATCTAGCAAGCAAGGTGTTTTTTCTGGCAAACCAGTTCCTGATCAAGGAGTGAGTATTTGCTTGCAGGCTGGTCGAGTTATGCATCAAAGGGAGAATGGAAAAGCAGGTCAGCAAGAGGATCATTTGATGAGGGAGGCTGATGTTGGTAGTCAAGGTAGTAGTGCTGACAGGCTTCAATCGGTGGCTGATGCAATTTTGTAAGGATGTGAGAGGAAGGGGGCTGTTTTTACTCATTGTTTGGGTAGCTGGGTGGCCTGGTCTGGCTTTCGCTCATGGCTGCTGCTGGTTCCCTACTGCTACTGGTTTTGGTTTCAGTGTTGAACTCGTAATGGCTGATCAGCTGTTTTTTTCTTGCTGGTTCCCCTGTTTTGTTGTTTCTGTTTGGTGTTGGGTTGGCTCTTGCCTATTTTTGGCTTCAAGGTGCTGCTGTGCTTGTGGCCTGCGTGGGGTTTAGTGCTTTTCTTCTTGGGCTTTTGAAGCTGTTGCTGCTGTTGTTAGACTGCCTGTTGGTGGGGTGTTACTGTTTTTCTTTTGGTGTAGCTGCTGTTGGTGCCTAATGTTTTCTGCAGGTTGGTCTGTTGCCACCTGTTGGCCTGTTCTGCTAGGGGCTGCTGCCACTTGCTGCAGTGCTGCTGTGTTGCTGAGTTACCGTATGTGTTCAGGAATCTATAAAATTGTTATATTACAGCCTTTTTTAATGAAAATATGTAACTTTATATGTATGTTAGTGTTTATATATCAATTTAAGTGAAAAAAATGCAAAAAAAAAAAAAGTGTTTTTTTATTTTTTTTTTGGGCATTTTTGGCACCGGTTTTGTAACATAATCGGTGCTAAACGTTTTTTTTATAATTTTTTTGCCACTTTTCGCACCGGTTCAAAGCAAGAACCGGTGCTAAAAGTTTTTTTTTTAATATTTTTGGGGACTTTTCGCACCGGTTCACATCAACAACAGGTGCGAAAAATAAGTTTTCATCAAGAACAGGTGCGAAAGTCCGGAGATTTGGCATCCCTTAAATCAGAACCAGTTCAAAACCGGTGCGAAATGGGGGTTTTGAACTGGTGCTGATTAGCAATTTTGGCCTAGTGAGTTATGACTAGTAGTTGCACTCTCCTAGACCTTGTAAGCACAGTGATTGGGGAGTCCTCATCCCAAACGTCATCATTGTCTTCAACAGGGTAAAGTGCAGCAAGTGGTGATTCCACCATATCTTTGAGATATACATCCTTATCATCACTGTCCCAAATTCCATTGATGTTGACATCACTATCTCAGATGCTTTCTAATGTTGGGATGTTGATGAAAAGTTTGCCATTGTCTATGAGTCTTTGAATGTATTCCTTGAACATAAAACAGTTTTCAATTGTGTGACCTCTAGATTGATGGTACTTGCAGTAAACTCTGTCCATTCTTTTAAAGGACTCAAATGGTCTTGGTTCAAGAGGCTTAACTTTACCTTTTTCAAGGAGTATGTCAAAGGCTCTTTCATAAGTGGTGCCTATAGGTGTGTAAGCCATGTTATTCCTTGATACTTGTGGCTTAACAACGTTGAAAGTAAATGGTTTTCTTCCAATGGTGTTTGGTTTATAAGAGGAAGAAGAGGGGTTGCACTTCCTTTTAAGGATTGGTTTTCATCCAATCTTTTTTACTTTCCTATAAAGGACTTGAAGTTCAAGGCTTAATTCTTGGAGGGCATCACAAAGGTTATTCAAATCCACATTAATAGAATTTTGGGAGGGACTGGCAATGTCTTCATTGGTGGTCTATTCTTGAAAATCACTCATGGCATCGAAGAAAATCTCCTCTTCTTCTTCAATGGCATGAATTTCTTCCATGGGAGGATATTCAACTGACTTAATAAGGAGTGATGGATCTTTTGGATCCTGTTCATCAAAAATAGCCAAGGAATCAGAAAGCGGAGAATTGTTGACGCTTGGCTTTTTACTAGAAGGAGGTACTGGAAGTTTGTTATTATCAATCAAGTATTGGATAGCTTCCTTTAACTTCCAACAACTTTCAGTTGAGTGGCCCCTACCTTGATGATATTTGCAGTGTGCATTTGGAATCCAATTGGACGGTCTCTTTGCAAGTGGAGGATCTTGCATAGGTCCAATGGGCGTAATAAGTCCTTTGGCGTGAAGTCGATCAAAGGCGGTATCATAGCTCATCCCAATAGGGGTGAACTTTCTTCTAAATTGCTTTCTTTGCCCTTGATTATTCTTAGCTAGGACATCATTTAGATTAAAGGTATTAACATTGTTACTAGAGTGGGTATTTTTGGAAGAAGAAGGATTGTCGTTCTTCTTTCCTTTCCAGCCACTGTTGTTACTATTGTTAGCAGCTTTCTATTTCGCAAGATCATCCTCAATTTCAATGCCTATTATATAGACAACTTTGAAAGTGTTTAAATTGCATTGATATTTCAAATATTTTTGGTATTTTTCTTGGAGATTCTTAATGAACATCCTTACAGATTCCTTCTCACTTGGAACTTTAATCATCCTAACGGAAGTTTCTTTCCATCTATTGTAAAAGGTAGTGAAACCTTCATTCTCTTTTTGTTTAAGAATTTCAAGTTCCTTATGATCGGTTTCTACTTGAATATTACATTTGTATCTATCAATGAAAGCATGTGTAATAGAATCCCAAGTAGCAATTTTCTCAGTGCCTATGGAAAAGAACCATTGTTGGCATACTGGTTCCAAAGAGAGAGGGAAGAGCGAGGGGAAAATTTTCTTGTCAATCCCCTTGATCTCCATAATTGTCTCAAAAGCCCTTAAGTGGAAGTAAGGGTTGTCAGTAGCTTTAAATTTAGGGATGTCATTGGCAGAGAACTTCTGCGAAAGAAGTTCCTTATCCATTGAGACCCCTTTAGAGCTTATACCAAAGCACTTGTAGTCATTGTAGATTTGACTCAATCTATCCTCCATGCGCTTGACTGTTTCAATTGGTACTTGCTTATTAAGGTCATCGACTCGGGTGGTGAGTCCCTTGAGCATTTCATCAAGTCTATTCACAGTTTCTTGAAGTTTCTCAAAATCTTCTTGACTAGCCATTATTCTTATTTTTCTATTCTTTCGAGCCGGTTTATCGAAGTGTAGTACTCGAATGAAAGTGTTGTCCTTGATTAAACTCCCTTCTCTCCTTGACCAAGCGCTGTATAATTAAACCATGGACTCTTTTAATGACTTGACTCAAATTGACTCGTACTTTTATTGGGTTGAAAAAGTAAAAAATGGGTGCATATTTTGGGAATCAAGTATGGGGATCAAATCAAGTTTTTTAAGCAACATGGTTTATGTTGGGAGGATAATATCAACCTTACCCCCCTAAAAAAATGACGGAAAAACGCATACAAGACTCTTGACATGGTCATGCTGAAAGACATATACAAAGTGTGTGCTAAGACTTGTGGGTGAAAGTGACATGTTTAAGACTCGTGTAATGACCATAGGACTAAATATGTGATTAGACTCAAGCAAAGACTAACTTAAGACCTCGTTTGTTCACTAAATCGGTTAATTATGGAAATTTGACTCGACACAAAGAGTCGAAAAAGAAAAAACTGAACCAGCGCGTGGCGATGGAATTGTCGCGGAACGCTGGTTTTGTCGCGGGGTGACAAGGCTGCCGCGGCGCGATGGAATTGTCGCAGAACGCTGGTTTTGTCACCTATAGGGAGATGCCTTATTGAGTTAGACTCAAGTGATTTTTCCCAAACCTAAAACTTGGGTATTTATAGGGAAGATAGCCTTGATCTCTCCTTTTCCCATCAATGTGGGAGAATTGCATTTTTCTACCAATTTATTTTAATCCAAAAAAATTAAAATGCAAAGCAATCAACAAGCTCCAAGTAGCAAAGGGTGATTAAGAGTTGGTGAGGACCATTCAAAGGGGGGGGAACTAATACTCCTTTCTCACCAAGCAAAGCCACCAAGAATCGGTCCCCACCAAAAACCCATGAGCAGCCCACCCAAAGCTGGCAGCCAGCCTGCCTTGGCTGCCAAGGCTGACTAGCTGGCGCTTAGCACCTTGGCTGGGCTGGCTAGCCAGCCTGCATACGCATGCACGAAGCCAGCAAGCCACGCATGCAATGCGGGCTGCAGCTGCTGGTTGTGCTAGGAAATGCCCAACACACAAGCATGCACAACCACAGCACCCACCATGCTGTGATGCCCATCACTCAAGCATGCACAACAACAACACATAACACGCTGCAATTCTAGTGCGATGCTGCGATGCGTGGCTGTTGTGCAAGAGGCTGCGAGGTGCGAGAGGCTACTATGTGCGATGCACTAGCATGCTAGCACGCCTAGTGCGCTAGCAATGCTGGCCATGCCACACCAGCTAGCGCTGCTAGCAAGCTCGGCATGGTGCGTAGCCTAGGCTAGCCTAGCACTCCTATGGTAGGCCAATGCGAGGCTACGGCTTAGCTCGAACTTGTCGCTTGTTGATTTTTCTTGTCTCGTCGCACTCTAAACTCGACTCGACTTGCAACGCTCGGTTTTGACGCTCTAAGCTCAACATCCGACGTCTTTGT